TGAATGTTGACACAAGCTACATCCTAACGGAAGCGGGAGTGAAAAGAAGGAGAATAAGCGATACAGAGGTGTAACATGAGTATTTTCTCAACCCTAGGCTTTGGAAGGTCATCCAACAGAGACTCAGTAAAGCTTTATGTTTTATCAGCAATATACCATTCGGAAGCTTGGAACATACAGGATCAACGTAGACCGTCCCTTTATTTCAACTCTCCTGTAAATTCAGATGTAAAAAATCACATCTAGCTTCAGCATCAGCTGATTTTATGCAGTTACTTTGTGCTCCATTTCTGAAAGAATAGAGGAGGGCTATAAAAAAGGAGACGACTGGCGAAGACTCGCTCTGTAACAGGGTTAGACAACTGGGCTTCATTCACTCTTTGCATAAAAATCCCCTCACAAAAACAAACATGTTTTTAGCTAAAATGTCATGCATCTCTGAGTAGAGGGGAGCTAGAGGAAAGGTCTATGTTGAATTCCTATTCCGTGAGCTTTCTAATGGTATATAGGTTGCCGATGAAAAACTCGTGGCTTTTCGAAAATGAAGTGGAGGTATATACAATTAGTATGCTCCACCCCCCTCTTGGCCTCTACGGGTCGCTGGAGCAAGACTTTTTTAGACTGGGAATGCTTTGTGCACAACACTTTCAATAACATTCGATGGCTAAGAACACGAGAATCGACGTAGGCCCGCCCGTCTTTTCTTTTCTAGCTTTTCGTTGAAGCGAAATACGAGCAGCAGCAGCAGCAGCATGCTCGATTAACCCCCTGTGCCAACTCCCAGCCCCGTAGCTCGAATTTTGCAAAAAATCGATAAAATCGATATCGATCGATGACGAAAAGTAGCCTGTGACACCCGCCGGGGCCCGAAGTGTACGTGTGCCAAGTTTGGTCCCGATCGGTTCAGAAATGGAATTTTCTATTCGGAACATGTACACACAGACATACATACATACAGACAAACAGACATTTAGCTTTATATATAAGATTCAAAAGCCTGAAAAACGTATACTCTAATTGCTCTTTTACTTATCCTCTCTAATGAAAGGAAATGTCGCACGATTGTTGTCCATAAACATGCATCCATCACTAGCCAGTCCAGACTTTCTACTCTTGCTTAACTCTTTCATGCACAATGTGTATTCAATGATACAATGTTAATTATTCAAAGACAGACCTCCTTTTGATTGGTGATTATATTTCGTTATCAGCGCCACTTTGAATGCGCACGAGTACTCAAGCATGCGTTTTCAACAAAATGCTGTTGCTTCGATGTTCTCTTGCAGTCTTGATGTCTGAGGAGAAGAGCAGCTGGCGTTTCCTTTTCAAACAAAAAGTGCCGTTTAACAGCTGTTTAATTCTGCCCTTATGCCTTAATTCTAGTTTCGACTTCAGTTGAAAGGGTTCATCCAGTCAGATGCCGGCCCTAAAGTGAAGGGGTCAGAGAACTTTCTCCACTCATGGCATTTATGAAGAGAGGGTCTTGGATGCAGGTTACACATTCTCTGTAAGGCTGAGCACAAACCACCCATGATCGACTTCGTTTTTGTAAGTAAAAGCGGAGTTTTTGAATACCAGGTAGCTCCAGATGTTCGCGTCGTTTTTTTTTTGAATCTAGCATAAACATTGAACAAATGTTCTTTAAGCGTTAATTGACACAGATTTTTTTATAGCATTTACGCCTTCAAACCTTTCTTTGCAGCAGCTCGAATAATCGCCGAATTTTCGAATCCATCATTTTAGCCATGTTCAGCTTTAGCCGGCTTTCCGTTGTTCCATTCTAAGCCTTTGGAGGAGTCGTTGGCAGGCAGATAGACAGAAGAAACAAAATTTGCATACATTTCTCAAGTGCAGTACTCTTTTTTGGTCTCTATTCGGGGGAGGGTATTAATAAGTTTTTCATCATGTTTATATAATTCAAATCTCGTTGGTGAACTAGTGAGTAAGTAAGGTATCATTTCAGAATATTTCTGCTAATTTTCACAGCCCTTTTATTTCATGTAGAAAATTAAAGCACAGTAATTCTACAGCGGGATAAATGAGCATGCTGATTACAAAATTATTACTGACAGGGAACCGGGTTTGCTAGTTTACAATATAGGGCAAATCAAACCACTCATTCTTACGTAAGATTACGGAATAAACTTTGAGGAGGGTTTTGGCCACCGAAGTTGCATTTTGCTCTAGAAAGGAGCTAAACAAGTCAAATCATACCAGGTTAAACAAAGTCGCTGATTTCAAGCATGAAAGCGCATCACAGTCATGCTTCTTCCAGGTAAACCGTAACAACTGCTTTTGTAGAGTTCTATGAAAATGTGATTACACCATAAAAAAGGTCTTATTTCTTGTTTGTGTTACGAAATCAGCATGCGTGGAAATTCTGCTACACAAAGCTTTAGGCTTACAGTGACCGCCAAAAAGTTGCGGACAAGCCGCCTTCCTTTTTTCATCGCTCATTTTCGAACGGAAAACAAAGATGAAAAAATGTTTGGATTGATGAGGTGATAGAGCTCTTCAAGAGCTACAACCCACACATTGTGCTTTCTGGAAAACATGCATTTTGAGAATTTTAAAAAATTTTTTAAGAAGAGTCCGAAAATGGCCGCGTCACAATGTCGCGGACAAAATTCTTCGAACGCGAAAATTTTCTTTTAGGTCTTTTTTGAAGCAAAAACAAAAGTTTTCCGGGCAGGTAAGCATACTACATTATAGAGCTCGTCGAGGACAATAATCCGGTAGTGGTTACTTCCAAAAAAACCCAAGCTTGAATTTTATTATGCTTCTTTTCAAAAAATAACTTTTAATTCCCTGCTTCAAGCCAAATTTACTCACATGGAAACCCATTCAAGATATTCCAACAAAGCTACTCGGATAAAATGGATGCCCTTTGCCATTTTCTATGCATCGGAAGCGTGCTGGTGAATTTCTTTGCTGAAAATAGCTTTTGACAGTGCGTGCACATGACCCCACCTGCACCTCACCACTGACTTGCACCGCATTGCAGGTGTTGTAGCTGGGCCGGCAGTCATTCTTTGAGTTTGCAGGTAGGCTCATTCGAAAGAGCGTGACTTCCTCGACACGATGGTATGCAAAATAGTTGGGTATGAGAAACAGAGGAGATTTGACGGATGGGGTGATAAAGCGCAGCGTTAGTGGTGATTGGAGTGGAGGCTTTTATCAACATCAGAACAGTCCTAAAGCTTCGAGATGGATCTGTTACAAGAACATTGACAGTTTTAAACTTCCCAGAATGGAACTTATAGCGAAAGAAACTTTGTTCAACTTTAGCTAGAAATCCTTAGCCTATCATTAAAGCTGCGCTTTGCCACCCCATCCGCCAATTCTCTGCTGTTTCTCATACCCAACTCTTTTGCATACACTCGTGTCGAGAGAAGTCATGCTCTTTCGAATGAGCCTGTGCACAGGCGCATCGAATAACTGCCGGCTGGCTGAGATACAAGCCTGCAAATCGGTGCAAGTCAGCGGTGAGGTGCAGGTGAGGTCATTTGCACGCATTGTCAAAAGCCATTTTCAGCCAAGAAGCTCACCAGTGCAAGTCCAATGCATAGAGTATGGCTAAGAACATCCATTTTATCCGAATAGCCTTGTTGGAATGCCTTGGATAGATTCCCATGTGAAGAAATTTGGCTTGAAGAAGAGAATTAAAATTTATTTTTTGATAAAAAGCAAAATAAAACTCAAGCTTGGTTTTTTTGGAAGTAACCACTACCTGATTATTGTCGATAAGTTCTACAATATAGTATGCTTATCTGTTCGGATTACTTGTGTTTCCACTTAAAAATGGGACCCAAAAGGAAATTTTGGCGTTCGAAGAATTATTGTCCGCGACATTGTGACGCGGCCATTTTCGGACTCTTCTTAGATAAATATTTTTGAAATTCTTAAAATGCATGTTTTCCAGAAAGCACAATGTGTGGGTTGTAGTTCTTGAAGAGCTCTATCACCTCATGCAATCCAAACATTTTTTTCATCTTTGTTTCATCCGAAAATGAGCGATGAAAAAAGGAAGGCGGCTTGTCCGCAACTTTTTGGCGGTCACTTACTCCACAACAGCATTGTATCCTGGAACTTCTTAACGTAATTCTTCAGTAGCTAAGAGAAAACAAATTGCTCTATGCTGTAAATCTAAGCTGAAGCCAGTTTCATAAAATGGTACCTAAAATTTCAAAGATCTTATGACAAGAAAGTTATTAGCATCCAACAGTATGTTTTTCATGCTTGTGGGTTTCTTCCTCATAATGATGAGCATAGCAACGCAGATACTTATCGAAAACAGAAACGACTAGGGTGTAAAAACATTTGATGCGGTTTTGACTTCAGATTAACACAATTTCTCATAACCGTCTTCTTCCTGTTTGCCTTCCTTATGGCAATAACCACTTTCGAACAATGATTGCTCTTGAGTCAACTGCAAGAAATTAGCTTTGCCTCTTGATATCCGGACCGACAGGTCTTGAAGCGAAACCCTGCGGTATGAACTACAGCCAAAATAGAAATTCAAATTTATTGCAATTTTTTTACTAGGTTTTCGACAATTGATTTCGGTTTTGCAATTTGCTTTATAAATACTTGTCTTCTCCAGCTTCCCTTAGGTAACCATCACTTTTCATGGGTGGCATTTTTTTAGCAGGCTAACTTTTTCTGATATTTTGAAGGTATCCCCTCCCCCCCCCCTCACTCCACTTGGGCGACTCACAAGCGCATAGCGCAAAGTTCGTAAGATCGATAAATTGAAGATATTGGAAAATGGATAGCCCCACCTCGAATGCAGACCCCAATTCTGAGTGGAAAGTTGGTTCAGATTTAGAAATGTAAATCTCCACTTCTATGAATGCTCTTCTATATGTCTTAAGAATGGGGACTGATTCACAGTTCAGAGAAGTTTGCAGATCCTGTCTTTCAAAATCAATTTTGAACACATTGTTTTTGCTCGTAAATAGGTAAATTTGTAAAGAAGCTTTCTTATTCATAAAATAACAGCTTCTTACAAGTGCAATTGGTACTATGTGATAATACCAATTAGTACACTACAACCAAAACATTTTAAAACCTTATCACAAGAATTGCTCTTTATTCTGTCGAAAATTAGCTAACATAAACAGCATGAATGTTGATATCCCCTCCAATGTCAATGCAAGACACAGAATCCTGCTGACGCTGATGGAATTCGTAGAGAAACTGGCCATCAACGTAGACCTATAAGCAATCGTAAGCAATCGAATTTTGCATATTTTGCAATTCAAACCAAAAAAATAGAAAATAGAGAAATTTCTCACGAGCAATGCGTTGTTACTGCTTGCCATGATCTCAACTGTGTGAAGGCGCTTCTTTTCGAAGGGGAAAGATCCAGAGGGTCGTTCTTCGTACCCCCAACTACCGTCGTAATATGAGTTGAAGACGACACTTTTCTCCTGTATTTAGAGTCACTTTGAAATAGATTCATTTTTATTTAGGATAAATTTTCGCAAAAGCATTCTGAAATCCCCCTTCCCCCCCCCCGGGTCGCGAGATTATTGGATTTAACATAATCTGTAAAACTGTCAAAGTGACTTGTATTCACTTGTAAATAATCAAAATAATTCAAGAAATTTAAGAAGTCGAGTTGGCGGTGTAAAAAAATTTTTTTTGGGCTTTATAAAAAAAATCTCGCTGAAATTTACATCAAACAATTTATTTCACTCACTTTCAAACGAGGATTGAAATGCATGAGGATGTCGTTTCCATTTTTGAGATTGATCTGAAAACTAATTGTTTTGAATAGTGTAAATGAAACCCACGACTTTCTCTAATTCATTAGAGTATCTTGCTAAAATCTGCTCTACCTACCTTACAGTCTGACTCAACTGTAATGTCCCCTTTGCGAGCGGTGTGCACCCGCAACGCAAAATGCTGCGCGATGCTTTCGCGAAATGGATGTCTGTTTTGATGGGGACACTGCGATTGTGACAAACTGCCATTTAGAGCAAAAATTTTTTGAAAGGTAAATTACTTTGTAACCGTTCGGAGCAAAAAATTTTAAGTTCTTATCGGAAATAAAATTGTTATATTTTTTAAACAGAGCTTCAAGAAAACAAAAAAGTGTTTTTTGTGCGCAAACAGAAACATTCTCTCATAAGAAAGTTTGCATCAAAATCTTCACTATCCTTATTGATGAAGTTTCATTTGCGCACATATGGTGAATATTTTATAGAAGATTTGAAAGCGTTTTCACTAGATTGTAATGCTCGATGCCCTTCAAGAATAATATGATCTTTGCCGAAGTTTTAAGAAAGCGAAACTATCCGTTCATAGCTTACGCTGAATGTCCCAGCACCCTTGTCCAGCATTTGAAGCACCACACGAAGACGACTCCCTTGTGGAAAACCTCTGATTGGCACTTGAACCGGATTTGTCTAAAATCGATCGGAATACGCAATACCATACATGACTACAAAATAGCTTCGAAATAGGAACTGCACTGTTTTTTAGCCACCTACATCAGTAGACTAAAAAACTGTCCTTAATCCAGTTTTTGAGTCTGATGTTTCGTGTTTATAACGATTTTTTTTACAACGATAATTAATACTATTAATTGTAAGTTGATATAAAAGTCTTGCACCAGAAAGTTGGAAATTCATAATCTTTCTCGACTCCGTTAAGGTTGTTGATTTTGGTACATATTAGATAGAATTCTTGCGCTTTCAGAAAGTCGTAAAGCAAAATATTAGGTGGGTCGAAAGTTCTGTCGTTTCATTTTCAAAAATTTGTAGTTTTGCACTATTGCAACGGATTTGCTTGCTTGTAATTTTATTAGAAAGAAAAAGTCTTTCGCTTCCAAGCGCGGTTTTGTGGAGCTTCTGTTTCACACTAGGTGCGGAGATAAAAATGGAAATCTAAGACCACATAAGCTTCGACCATTTTTAGTTGGGTCACCAAAAACCTGGAAAGCTGCAGAAAAATCTGAAATCGTCAGTACATGTGTTTTTTGGCCTAACCTTCGCATATGTGAAGAGTTTGTGCTGTTTGGACGTCTCTGTGAGAAGTTGAATATCGAGTTTACTATGGAAAACGTCAAAATTAATTAATTTGTCAATTTTCGTGAAAATCATAACTTTTCACAGAGACTTCTAAACAGTACAAACTCTTCACAGTGACAAAGAGTAGGCCAAAAAACATATGTACTGGCGATTTCAGATTTTTTTGCGGCGTTTCAGATTTTTGGTGACCTAACTTAAAATGGTCAAAGCTTATATGGTCTTACTTTTCCATTTTTATCTCAGCAATCAGTGCAAAAAAGAAGTTTCACAAAGCAGCATTTGAAAGCGAAGGATTTACTCTTTCTAATAAATATACAATGAGGTGAATCCGTTGCAAAATTGCAAAGCTACAAATTTTTAAAAATGAAACGACAGAACTTTCGGACTCACCTAATATTTTAGTGCCTTGTTGATAGAAGTTGAAAAAAGCACTCAAAAGACTCAAAAACAAACTCTAATTGTAAGACGACGGCGTACTTGTACTCGCGGAAACTGGCAAAAATGCAGAAGTAATTGAGATGTAAGTCTCAAAACGTCGCGTTTCTAGCTTTCTCAGAGAATTCAAGCTTTTTGCCAGCTATTCTCACTTCCTACAGTTACTTTACGCGTTTCTAACCAATGGACACTAGTAGTAACTTACTATTAGAAAATTTCAATCAGTTTCGAAATATTATCAAAAATTGCCATTTTTTCCCCATTTGCCAAGTTTTTTTTTGAATTTGATACCTGCACTTTTGATGATGTTATTGACTGATAACCTCTAGGGATCTGTTGTTGTTATTATTATAATTACTGTTGTTGTGTTGACCTATGCGCGGGAAACGAGAGCTATAATAAGCACTCCTTTATGGATTATTTATTCGTGTCGAACTAGCCGTCCGTTCTTATTCACATTCACTCTGCAAATAAATTTGCTGTTCACAACTGTCCCGGTCCACCACAAGTACAAGATACAATAGAAGTAGAAACGATGCTTACAATAGAAGCAAAATTCAATCATTTTCAAAACGTATGTGCGCTAACTCACCAGAAGTTAGCAAACTTGTTGAGTATTTCAGAAATGTACCTAGTGCTTGCTCGTTAGTAAGTCTTTTGTCACAACTGCTTTCGCAAACATTTAGGTAACACACTCGCAGGGTTTAACTTATATTCACAGTACAAAACAAATCACTCTCATTACTATAGGATTACGAGGGAAATTTAGATCATCTTTGTGATGAATTAGCTGCCACGCCAGAGCTTTCACAAATGCTTATCTAATCAAGGGGTTTTCGGACAATCTGATCTTGAACCTAGACCTTAATGAAGTTTGCGAGACTGATGGATTCTCGAAAATTGGAAAAAAACCGTTACTGTAAATTCGTAGATTTTGCAGATAAGAGATTCGTCGCCTTTATCAAATTTTGATCTCGCAGTACTCTCTCGAAAGTTTTTAATGTTGTTCTAACAAGGAAAGTTCACTTAGTCGAAGTGGCGATTCGGAAGGAGATCTATACCAATTGATAGCACTTGAAAAGCTGATCTCAGATATACCTTCTATATCTGCGATGCATTGTTCTGAAAAAAGTTATGAGCTTTTTCAAAGCTAGAGTTTCGTGCATTTTGAGTCGCAAAATCATGATATTCACAAAAGTGTGCAAGCTTAAGCAAACCACCTAGTAAGCATTGTAGGTCTAAGTTCATCCGAACGTTTTCGAGTTTTCCGACCATGTCGTTTATTCACAGGTCGCCATTTCCTTCCTAAATCACACTTCCATTAATATCCATCTAGAAGAATGCGTTGCAGATATTGAAGATATATTCAAGAATATCGTTTTACGTTTTATCTTGGTAATTTCCAAAAAGTTTCCGACGCGACGCGTTTTTCTAGATGGAGGTTATTGGGCTTTTTGTATGCATAGTGAAAGTGTGATCTAGGAATGAACTGGCGACCTGTGGATGAACAACATGGTCGAAAAACACTCGAAAGCGTTCGAATAAACTCGAATTAGACCTACAATGCTTATTAGGTGGTTTGCTTAAGCTTGCACACTTTTGTGTAGAGATTATCTTGATTGTGCGACTCAAAATGCACGAAAATTTGGGCTTTAGAAAAGCTCGTAACTTTCTTTAGTACAATGCATCGCAGATATAGAAGGTATATATGAGATCAGCTTTGTAAGCTCTATCAACTGGTATAGATTTCCTTCCTAATCGCCACTTCGATTAAGTGAACTTCCCTTGTAAGTGATGAACAACGAGTGTTTCTTTCTGCACAGCATGGAAGTTACAACCAGCTATCAAATAAGGTACGTAGACGTCTGCGAAAGCTGCTGATACAGGGGAGATTTCTTTTGTAAACAGACATTCTTTACTTTGGGATACTTATACATCTAAATTGATTTTTTTTCAGTTTCCCGCCATTGCATCGATGAACTAGCAGGAAAAATTACTATTTACACCTTCTAAAACATGAAATTCCACATTATTGAACAGACTTATCTTTACCTATTTCAAAATTTTTGCAAGAAAGCAGCCAAGTGTGTCTTATCAAACGCTGCAAAAAATAATTCTACATAGGTAGTTTGGCTCATGAGCATTAGGCTTACAGGGTTGTAGATTTCTCTCGAGAAACCCGATCCTGGAGGACCACCACCCTGCTGCTGACCACCTTGACCACTTTGGCCACCTTGCCATTGCGATGGGGCAGGACTGTAGTCGGATCCGGATCCAGGTCCGGTATAATATTCACCAATCATTCTAAAAATGGAAGACCAATGAAAGAATACATCAAAAACGTCATTCCAATAGTTAATAAGGTTCCCGTTGAAATTGGTAATCTTTCAAAAACATTTTAAGGACGAGTTGTAAGGTAGATAACCCTCAAGTTCTGGCAGAGACATATGCAATTGTGGAGATCGTGCCTAGCATAAAGAATTCAAATATAAGATTTTTCAAACGTGCCAGTGTCATCAAAGGTGACTGGAAAGGACGTCTGATAAGCACAAACTCACATTTGCTGAATTGAAAAAAACTTAAGAAGCGATAGGTGACTCAATGTTTGCTGAGCATTCCTAAAGAGTGCAGTTTTATGAGCCACTTTTTTTGTTGTGTGATTTTCAAGGAAAAGCAAATGTTACATTTTTTTAACCGATGCAAAAGCCACAACCAATGTTTTTTTCATACAAACTAGGAGGATTTATTGAAACGAATCCCTGCTTTCTGAAGTGAATGGAGCCTTGGTTCATCAACATGAAATACAGACTTGCATTTTGAGATTTGGTACCGAATTGAAAATTTGTGGTCCATGCTGCACGTTGCTATCTGCTTGTGGCACCTGCTGGATATTATTATATCATATTGAAAAACCATTCAAGCAGAGATGAAAACCAAGAAAATGCGATTAGCGGAAGTGATGCGCGTCGCGCGCGGTCACGCCGTCTTCATGATTTTCGGCCCTATACTTGGCTTAATGGGCCGTCTTCACTTTGCGTCGTGCCCCAAATTCTGATATCTACGATCTTCATTCGATTGCGAACTCCGGGCGCATTAGTTGTATTGATTTCTCATTAGTCCATCCGTTCCATGAACGCTTCTTTAACACGTTGATGACAGCGCCGCGCAATGGTGCGCGGCACCAAATTTCATTTTCAAGGTAAAGTTGACTGCACAGAATCGCCCGGGCTAAACCCGCGGCGTACCTTTTGCGGGCTAACATTGGCATTCGCTCGTGTAAGTCATAAGAGCGCGCGTACCCGGCAGCCGCGTTGCAGGCACGCTCGCATGAGTTCAGCCTACAGCGAACCGGGCGGTTTCGTGCGGTCGATTATATCCAATCGTTCTATTAGGTTGTCAAGAAAATAATGTCGGTTTTTATTTGCTTGCTTTAACAAAGCAACCAGACTCAACCCAACAAAGGGTAAGGGGTACTGTTCGATAGAGCAAAGCAAGCTTTACAAGGTGGCACTCATGCCTTTGCGCCATGCTCGATCCACGGAGAGTTCGAACTCAAAATTTAAAGATTTCCAAATGCCCAAAAAATCGAAAAAAAGCAGATCTTCGTCCAAATGATTTCTACGGACCTCCCACTCGCTCACATCAATACTATCGATATCTGATATCTATATGTGCGATGGCCGTATTTTTTCCTTGACTAGAAACTGAGAAAACGAAAAGTTCCCTGATTTTCTCAAAGCAATGCTGAGCCGTTTTTGCATATGTAGTTTTATACTACAAGCCTAAGTAAGTATAACTGTAGGTTTTTAGCCTATTTGGAGCGGTACTTTTCGAGAAATGTCGATTTTAGCACTGAAACTGAAACGAAAAAATTCGGAATTCGTTATTTTTCGAAAACTACCGCTTGGATTGGGCTGAAAATCTACAGTTATACTTACCTAGGCTTGTAGTATAGAACTAACTATGCAAAAACGGCTCAGCATTGCTTTGAGAAAATCAGGGAAATTTTCGTTTTCTCAGTTTCTAGTCAGGAAAAAAATACGGCAATTGCACATATGAATATCAGATATCGATAGTATTGATGTGAGCGAGTGGGAGGTCCGTAGAAATCATTTGGACGAAGATCTGATTTTTTTCGATTTTTTGGGCATTTGGAAATCTTTAAATTTTGAGTTCGAACTCTCCGTGGATCGAGCATGGCGAAAAGACATGAGTGCCTTCTTGTAGAGCTTGCTTTGCTCTATCGAACAGTACCCCTTATCCTTTGTTGGGTAGAGTCTGGTTGCTTTGTTAAAGCAAGCAAATTAAAACCGACATTATTTTCTTGACAACCTAATAATTTGTGTTCATATAATCACTCTAGGCTAAGAGGTATTTCGTGTTGGCCCCGTCTTTGTTTCGGCAGGCTCCGTCCACATTGGCGCCTTCTACAAAAAGCTTTTTTTGTCCTCAAAGCGCATAGAAGAGGTCATAAATGATCGTGGAACCTCAAGCGACTCCAACGTCGACCCCGCCCACTATTAGCTACGCCCCGCCCGCTCGGTGGCAAGCTCAGGCCACTTTTCAAAAATCCGGAGTTCACACGAAATCTTAAAATTTAAGCAAAATCCAGCACTTTTTGTCGAATGGGCGGGGCTTGTCAAAAAGGGTGCAGTTGTCCGCCCACTTGTTATTATTTCTTCACGCATAAATGCATGCTTATATACATGCAGTCAGGTGTAAATAATGATGCGAAAAGGCTTATCCACAGGGACAGACACTAAAGAATGACTCGTCGTCAACGTGTCAATCACGTTGGTTGTCTTCCTTGAAAACATTTTCGCTTTGCGAGAAATCTATTCGTATGTCCTCAGTTTCCATTTCTCATGTGGTTTTCATGGCGTGACCAACCCATCGATGTTTCGTTTCCGCAAAGTATTTCGCTGGATCATGAAGATGGTGTCTTTATGTATATATTTACACTGCAAAATCCTACGAGATTTTGCTTGTGTCGGGTAATCTAAGCTGCTCTCAAGCACTCTGTGGGTCCGTAAATCTTTCGAGGATGTGGGTATCGGTCTATGTCTCATACACATAGACAGAAAGCTAACAGTTGGGTCGAACAAGGAGGGGGTGCGATCCGGGTCCTTCACTGACCGGTGGCTTCCTATAGTGAGCACAGGGCGGCCCAGGCAATCATCGCATAACGGCGACCGCGATAATCAGGCATTGCATTTTGGAACTCTTTTACTCAGTAACAAAACGCTTGTTGGCATGATCAGCTTTGAAAAATCGAATTTTCACCAAGTTTCGTGTTTATGCTGGAGTCATTGCGTAGAAAGAATGTTTGATATAGGCTGTTGCAAAAATAATGTCCGTTTTGCAAAGTTTCGATTTGAAAGGCTATAACTTTGTTCAATCTTCGTATTTCTGAATGCAATCAGAACCTACTGAAGCAGAAAACCTTTCGTAACCTAACGCGCACCTGATCATACTGATATCGCAAACGGGAAAAAAACCATGTCGCAAAAAAATCGAAACTTTTTCTTTTGGAAGCCCCGTCTTTGAGGGATTACAGCTCCCTTCAAATTCTGCTTCTATGGCTATTAATCAGCTTATTTTGCAGACGCAAGCCAGTAGTATATGCCAGCCTAGAAAAGACTTCAACGAAGGAGTTTTGCGAAAAGAGAAGATAGAAACCCAAACTTGTCCACTTTTTAGCCTATTTGTGGTAGGCCAGAAAGTCCCAAACTATTGAAATTTGAAACTCTTCATACATTGAATGGCTAAGTTTTTCTGCAGAAATTGCAGGAAAGATGTCCTGACCTCAAGCATACAAAAATGAGCGAAGCTTCGGCGATGACCTGATTATAAGAAACTTTGAGCCTATAGAATGCCAGCAGCAAGCATCTGTTTGGGGGCGCCAATCTCTCGGTTCGACTATTTTCGAAAAATCTAAACACGCTGTAGGCGAAAGTTCAACTACTACAGTAGCTATGTTTTTAGAAGAATCCGTTCATTTGCGCCTGAATTATGGCCAAACGAATTAGAGCAACGAAATTTCGAGTTTGAGTGCAGCTGTGTGAGATGCTGGTGGAATCTCACAGATGAGGATGGAATCTTAATTCCATTACCGTTAGAAAGTACACTAGGAGAGCTTTCCAATGATATGCAGAATCTATATCGAAAAAGAATTTGCAAAAGAAAAAAGTTGTTCGGAAAGTAGGCTTAGAAAAACGGACATTATTTCTGCAACAGCCTAGTAACTGGGGACAACACTTCGACTACTTAGCAAACAACATTTAATAATGCGATGTGTTTGCAATTTTGGCCAAAAATGTGAGAGTCTTCTTTTGTGAGATATCAAATTCTTGAGACAGTCAGAATTGCATGAACTTGACTACGCAAGACTGCATGGTCAAATTCAACTCGGAAATGCATACACAAATTCTACCTTTTTCTTTTAGCTTTTATGGGTTCAGTCACCAAAGTCAATTGCCTCCCGACTACTTTTTAGTCAGCGCAATTCTAACTCATGATGACCTCCAATTTTGCTCCAATGTGATCTCGCGGTTTGATGTGTTGGGACGCAATTTTCATGCAATGATGAGCAATAGGACGAGTTAGCAATATTGACCCATCATATTAGGTGTGCAACTCCGGGACAATGAAGAAAAAAGTACGAAAAGACATGAAAACAAATTTTGATTGAAAAATAATTGTTTTTTCCAATTTGGGTTGCTGCCCGCACAACCTGGCAACAGCCTGAGGTCGCGCGAGACCAAACAAAGTCAATGTTTTTCCTTCCACAGATAATTCTTCTTCACACATATCTGTTCAATAGCTCAAGCTTTGATTATTGGTATGAAAGTTTTGCTTTGGCAGTGAGCTTGATAAGATGAGATCCGCCCTTTCTTCCTTTTTTCACTAATTCATCTTCTGACTTTCCTTATCTTTTCTTTCTCCCATACAATCACCTTTGCTGCATATACTGAAGTCACTACATGGCGAAAGGTGGCTTCAATATATGCAGCGAAGGATGGGTGTACCACGAGATGTATCACAAAGTGAACATCGTAATATTTTGCAGTGCCAAGGGGACAGCACCAAGGGAAATTGGTTTTCAAAATTAGCCACCTCGTGCTGAGTTCCAGTCTGATAGACTTTGCGTACGTAGCGCGGTTAACTAATTCATCCGAAACGGATGAGACATTAATTTTGCGCAGTAGTTGTTAATAATTTTCATTCATGGAAATCCAGGGCAACTAAAATTCAAACTACATGGATAGCGTGAATGTCGATGTCTCCTGAAACTTGAACTGCCGCGACTTGGTTGCCTGACTGACGCTCACGAAACTCGTAGAGCAGTTGACCATTAACGTATATCTAAAATAGAAAATTGCCATAGTGACACAACTGGAAAAATCATGCAAACGCAGAGTGATGTACAGTTGTACAAGCGCATAAAACGTACGTAAACAGAATTACGACCGCTTGCTACAAGTTCGACCGTATAGATCTCTCCTGGCTTGAATGGGAAGATGACGGTGGCTCGTTCCTCATCCTCCCACCTACCTCCATGAAATGAATTGAGAATGAGTGCACGTTCCTGTAAACACTCACATCCTGGACTGAAATAATGTGAATAAATATTGCAAAGACTTACATTGAGACGAGGATTGAAATGCATTATGATGTCGAGACCGCTTCTGAGATTGATCTGGAATGGAACGAAAGTTTAATGAGTCCATCTACACCCAGCAAGCATTCCTCAAGTTTCCCATTTCTACAAGGAAATTCATAAGAAACGCGTTGTACCACTAAGGTATAGTATGGCTTCAGATCATACTTTGTTTTTCATCAATACGGAGTGTCGACAACGCTTGAAATCTTTTTTGAATATCTAGAGTGAATCATATAGTCCCACATCATTTATGTTATGAGAAATTAGGTACTTGCTGGTTATGGCTATTGAGATTTACGCGCAATATGCGCCAACGGCCAGAATTTACAATGATATTCCCGGGTGAGGACTGAGCAAATACGCTTAGAGTCTCTTTTGTGTAAAAGAACTTCCAAAATTTTGATGATTTTCGAAGCACTCACAACGAAATTACCGCTCGATTTCTTGTGCATCTCAAGTACAACGCGAACTCGATGTCCATAAGTAAAGCCGAACATAGGCACTTCTGCTGGATTCGCCTGGAATTGGTAAATTTACTCGCTGAATTTTAGTATAATTCAAGCTAATTCAGCTTTGGTGCGATGTCTTATGATTCTTTCTTGTTTTGCTTCATAAAACAGTTTTTGTTTGACTGTCTTACCGGATTGAATATAGTTTTCTCTCCTCTTACATCCTGGAGGGATGAATCAGGAGCAGCGGTATAAGTGTTATGGCCGTAGCTTGCGAACATGCCTGTAAACTAAGCTCCACATATTTTATTTAAAGAAATAATCAACTGCTAAATGCTGCCCAGGCAAGTCTAAGCCCTTGAGCTTTTCCTAAAAAGGTTTGGGATGTTTGAAAGACATAATCAATGTTGTATTTGTTTCTGCAGTCAGCGGATACGACAAAAGTACACGTGCGGGTAAACAGAAGCGATAAAGCAAAAGAGAGTTCTATCTAGCGTTTGCTCGTTTCTAATTTTGTGTTTGAAGCCATCAGTGTTCAATAGTCACAGCAAAAAGTGGACGATAAGCTTTTATGACCATTTGATGACAGATTTTTCCATCATATGCAACAGAAAAGCATCCCACCTTTTATTGACCAAAAAGGATTCACTGTCAAGATTCTTCGCTGATTCAGACCTCGATGTTTGCTGTGACTTGTTTGCGTGTTACCATCAATCGGTGAAAACTTTGAAGTGCAGGGAGAAATGTGATATGTGGAAGACTCTAGCAGCTACAAGAAATTCTCTTCTTATTCATTGTTTTAGTTTTAATGTGAATTCAGGTAGTATAATGACGCATCCGGAATGATGATCAGATGTTTATGAACTTATCCATATTCGTATTATCTATCGTACCAAAAGGCAAGTCAGCATCATATAAAATCACTATTTTCAGGGTGGAGCCAGATTTGCGCACAATTTTGTCTGAGCCCACACTCTGAAGAGCTTGCTTTCTTTCGTCAATAATACTTAAAGGCAGCGTACACCCAAAATCTAAATTACCTAATTTTCTAAATTTTTCTATACCGTGTATATACTGGGCCCAGAAGAAGGCCAACTGCGTTGGTCCGGTCTCCCAATGTTGCTTCTGAGCGGAGAAAACCCCCCTCAATTTTCTTTCATTACGCCCCTTTTCTTTCGCTCCGCCTCCTCCGGACGAATCCACGACAGCGTAAGCTGCAGTTGCAGTTGCAGCTGCAATTGCTTCTTGCGTTCTTCCTCCTTCGGACGACGAATCCACGACAGCATACGCAGCATTTGCAGTTGCAACTACAGGCGTCATGCTGTTGCAGCTGCTTTTCGATTGCATTCCGACGGGACCGAGCAGTTGGAAACTCGTCCTTCCTTTGAAGAGAGGGTCCTCGGAAATCGGAGTTTTTTGGGACTTTTGGAGGATTTCAATGTCATAATTGTAATCAGCGGCATGGAAAGGCCCCAGAATGACAAAAACATCGAGAATGAAACTTTGGGTGTACGCTGCCTTTAACTTAAACTGGCGTTTGGAAAGAAACGAAACGGTTGAAATTAGTCTAAATCTCTAATTCGAACATGCTTTTTGGCTCGGGTTATCAACTTTTTTCTGCACAGAATCTGCGTGTTCTTTGAATAACGGCATTACGGTAGCATCAACTGAATGCTAATCACTGCGTCGAGTTCCTTGTTGATGAAGAAGCTCATTTGATGTTATTTTGATATCCCTGCACTTTTTATGAGCAAATTTCTACTTTCACGCAGTCTCCTCCCGTTTAGTGATATGTTAGCAGGGCAAGACCATGACTCACCTTGATGCATCGCAGCTAAGAACAGCATATTCGGAGTCAGCGTTCCAACATGATTTCAATCACATAAGTCTTTTTTTGAAGGGCCAGCCTAAGTCAGGTCTTTTCCCAAGTTATCTAATTTGTTACCTTTCTTGTGATTTATCGCCTACAGTGTTTCAGTAAGCTGAGAACGCACCAGAAGTAAAATTGATTACAAAATCAGAGAAAACGCGGAAAAACTGGTGATCATTGTCAGCATGTTAATTATTTGTTGTGCTTGTCAGTAAAAAAAACCAAATATAACCAGCAGGAGTACGTCAAGGGTAATTGCTCATGATAAAAACCTGCATAGCAGTCAACGTTTTTATAGATATAAACTTTATCCGGGTACAGCAGTGTCAGCAAATTCCACGAGGGAACACATTACGACATTGACAATCCATATCTGGATCGTACGTGCCCTGACAGGACAACCAACAATGGATTTGATGCAGCGCCTGCCACAAATCGTTTTCTTACAAAAATGTCCCTTTACCAACAAAAACAGTCTCGTTCGCCCTGAAACTAGCAGAGGAACACCGACTCAGACGATCAAGCATTGCATTGTTTGTAGTAGCAATAGCAAAGAGTAGGTGAGGAGTCATATCGTGGAAAGCTTGAATAATTTCAATTCAACAGCAAGTACTCGAATGAATGTCACCGTAGCGCAAAAACAAAGTGAACGCTTTATTCGATAGCGCTGTATCTAGAGCGCATTATCCAACAAAGCTAATCTTACATGGGAATGGTCAGAAATCGAAGAGGGCACCGGAACAAGCTGCACACCATTATATGCAGCATAAAACACTGACTTTGAATTTGTATCTTATATATAAAGCTGAATGTCTGTATGTCTGTCTGTATGTCTGTATGTCTGTACGTATGTGCGGAATAGAAATTTTTATTTCTGAACCGATTTGGACCAAACTTGGCACACATATACTTCGGGGCAGGGAGCGTGTCATAGGCTACTTTTCGTTATCGATCGATATCGATTTTATCGATTTTTTGCAAAATTTGAGCTACGGGGCTGGGAGTTGGCATAGGGGGGTAATCGAGCATGCTGATTACGAATATAATAATGACAGGGCCGGGCGAGCCGGGTTTGCCAGCTAGTTCCATATATGCTCAGCGACGTTGCGGACGAAGTTACGAGTCGTTGAAGGCCATTGCTCTGTCAAGAAATCGTGCATGCAAAGCGCAAATATGGTAGTACAGAGCCATGTTCGCCTTAGGCTAGACCGTTTTCCGCCACTTCTGGATGAAAGCCAGGAAGATTCAAAGGCATTGGATTTAGTGCAAAAAATTCTAGGGTGTGGAGAAAATGGCGGCACTTCTGGAAGGAAAGTGAGCGGTGTCTGTGGGCTTCCGCGTCAACACCTTTTTAGCCCCGTCACCATCCTCCTCGTCACCACCTGTCCTCATTCCGTCAACATCCACCTTTCTAACCCCGCTGATTAAAGAGGGCCCGGCGGGATGGCAAATTTCAAGCTGAAAAATTTTGACTGTAAAAAAGCAAAGGGGTAGTGTGGACACAAGTTTATACGGACATACGCACCCCCCCCCTAACAAGTTGCTACACGGTCGACGTTCTACTATTCTACTACTATTGTACGTTCTTCGTCGACGTATCTTACTCAGGGCATCATTCTTGAAGAAAACAAAAACCAAGTTTTTTACACCTACTAATTGCCAGTACTAAAGTCTCGTTTACGGTGCACACACAAAAATATAGCACCAAATATAGTATATGAACGGACATGGACTAGGGAAGGCATGATGCAGAAAACAGTGGAAAAATGATGTGAATGAAGATGGCATGTGGCATCTGCTTTGAAAAGTGAAAAATGACTTGCTTGCAAGACACAGGTAACACATGTACTCCAAACTCGATGTACAATATATACGCGTAATGGGGATAAGAACAAAGTAAATGAAAATACGAAGATTTTATGAGAAAGAACGTACCCGAAATTTTTCAGTCAGGATGGCAATTGCCATCTTTGTGCCACCTTGGCAAAACTTTCAGTCCACTCCTTTTTTTCAACATTTGTAAGTATGATGTGCAGCCAAAGATTACTATATAGTAACAATTTGCTTTCATAACTCTATCATCTTGCCCTTGTTAGGATCCGAGATAGGAACGATGCCAATCCTCTCAGAGAAAGAAAACGCGATTCAACCGAACCCTAAACCGCTGGCGCGATAAAGTGAGAAATCTTGACTGTCGAAAACAGCAAGGGCGTATTCACTTTGCAGGTATCTATTTGCAACTCTCGTACCGGGTCCCTGTGTCCATCTGGTAACTTTTCGTTTTTCGCTTTCGCCATTTGCAGATATTTTCCATGTTTTGCAATTTCTAATAAAATGGAATGCTGTTGTACAGACATACAGTCGACCACAGGATGGAATTGGGGCAGACTGTAAATGTAAATACAGCTCTATACTAGCTCTATGCAATCTTAGTGTAATAGCCCACAACAAACTGATGAAATAGTTGGCGACATTCTACGACCTGTTGAAGGACGAGGACGTTATAATCATGCGATGCGCGTAACAGTGGTGAGGGCAGCACTGACAGGAAACTTCTCTGCTATAGTTCAAAATGATACGCATCTTGTCCATCCCAGAACATGAATAGGTCTGGGAGCATCTACGATCTATGGAATCAGAAAGCTGCAACGTTTCGCGGAGTTTCTGGTTGAATTGTCAGGCCTATTGCAGTCTTCGCCAACCAAGACCGCCTAATTTCCCTTGCATGTAGGGCGTTAAAGCTGTTTGTGCAGACCGGCAGGTCTCTTGTGAGCACGAAAACACCTTGCACTGTAATTCTCTCCAAAGCAGCTCAAACATCTTCAAAAAACGATTGTGCTGATGCAGCATCCTTTGCAACTCTAGCAGGACGTCCTGGCTTGCAGCACCGGTGATACCGCAGCGTTGATTCGCTTAAAGGCAGTGTCTCACCAAAATTTAGTTGTCGAGATTTTTGCATTTTGCATGCCTGTCGGAGCCTGTCTAGCACTGTATGGGCTTGAAATTGCACGAAGTTCCCAAAAACCCCGTTTTCTGAAAGCCCCGTGGAAGCAACGTGGACGAGTTGTACCTTCCAACTTCAGCCTCAGCCACAGTGTAGCAACAGAGGGGAGGTGGATGCCAAGTGGAGGGACATCTTCAAACGCGTAAGGGAGGAGACCGAAGGAGTCGTCCGCGCGTACCAACTCGCTCTCCGCGTACCACTTTGAGCGAATTTTTCTCAGCGTGGAGGGGGTCAAATTGAGTGGGACTTGTTGCAATACCTATTTATAGGTCCCTATAAAAGAATATGTGAAAATCCGCGCGAGCCCAACTTTGGTGAGACACTGCCTTATCTACTCGTCGCAGAGAGAGTTTAGCTGTAAAAACATGAGGCTTCTTTGGCTTAAGGAAACAGGGAGGTTATCTGCTCGTCGCAGAGAGAGTTTAGCTGTAAAACATGAAGATTCTTCGCCCTAAGAAAGCAGGGAGGCATCTTCATGGTGGATCTAACCTTGAATGTTAGCATAAAGCCTGTTAACGTCCGTTGTGTAGCGATTGCCGAAGGAATGGGGGGGGGGTCAACCGGAAGCACGGGTTCTTCACAAATTCAGCAAAATGCTTTCCATCTGTGTGCCATATGTGTATGACCGAAGCGGCTAAGGCGGATCACGTAAAGGCTTAAAGTCAATCTTCCCGCAGTACATATCGGACGGCTCTAAATTTTATGGCTTGACACTTGTCATGAAGCCCATTACTGTCAGAACATTTACGTTGTAAAAAGCAAGAGAAAGGGATGGTCTACGTAAGCTCGTTATTTCTCTCTCATTGGTAAAGATTTCTTGATAAAAAAAAGCTTGCTATTCTTTGAAAAATGTGGAGATGTTCGCTATTAGCTTGTTCTTCCCTGATTCTTCGAAGCCTGACTGAGTTGCAGAAGCAGGAGTCTGAAAGACAGCTTCACGCCCCAACAAGTGTTACACTGGATATATACAGCATATGAGAAAGTTCGTGAATACTGCTAAGTTTTTGCTTCTAAGAAAGTATTAAGTTGGGTTTGCGAACAACGCTGCAAGCTCTACAAGACATGCTAAGCATGAGCGCAATCAGTGACTCTCATAATAATATCCACGAAATTTTTAGGAAAAGTACGACGAAGGTCGGATCTGCACCTTCTCAGATTCACATCTCGTAAACGCTGTGACACCATGAGATGCTCTATAGTACAACAACATACCGTACTTACGTGCATGTATGTTTCAAGTAGCAATAAAAACATGGTTTTGAAAATGGCTAGCTTCGTCCGCTGACGACCATAAACCGCCTCCCACTTGTGCAAACATAAGTCGCACGCATGCAACTGTAAGTTTTCGCTCGTATAAATGTACTCAATTTTGAGAATTTGCAAATTTAGTCTGAATACTTCCGAAAACCTTTTTTATTCTATCAGGTTGTAGCATAAGTCTTGTTACCCTCTAACTCTTACGGCGTTAAGTCGTACACTTCACATTTTCAATAAAGATGCAGGACACTATTCAATAGAGCAATGCAAGCTCTACTAGATGGTATACAATATATCGCACCAACTTTAACGCACCGTTTGCGTCCAAAACCTAAGTCGTAGTGAAGGCTCAAAAAATAGCTAATTCAATAATTCATAATTCATAATTCATATCTTCGTTCAAAAAATACTACGGGTCTCTAACTTCCTCAAAAAAATTGCACACTACACCAGACCCTCATACGTACCATTCCTGTATTTTTTCTTCATCTAGCAATTGAAAAAAAGAACAAAAACTTTTATGTTCATACAAAAACGAAGCTACGCTGTTTTCACTCATGTAATTGTATACTACAACCCCTTAGAGGTTCAACCGTAAATTTACAGGCTTTCACAAGCCCTAGTTTTCGAAAAATATTGATTTTAGCATGAAACACTCGAGTGAAGAGAGCTAAATTCGGTAGTTCGAGAACTAAAGC